CCCTTAAAGTGAATCTTCTGTTGGGAGCCTGGCTGGATGGCAGCATTGAATGCCCCAGGCTTGCCCTCTCCAGACCTGCACAACAAAACTGATATAAAACAAAGCCAAAAACCCCTGAGGGAAAAAGTGATTACCAGTGTGCATAATAGGAGCATCAGCATATCTAAAAAGGGTAGGAAAAACTCCAGATGAGTTTTGTTATGTAATAATGGGGCAGTACTCACAAGAGAGAGGAGTGGCTGCTATGTAACGGACCTTATAGCTATTGACTTGGTCACATATCAGTATGGGGCTCCGGAGACCTGGCACTGCACTGGGTAAGGGGATGCAAGAGCAGCCACTTAGGTTAGAGAGTGCATTGTGGGAGAGCAGAGAGATAGGAGGACTACCGGCTTGAATTTGAGATTCTTAACACAGAACAGCTGCAGCCTGAATCCGCTCAGAGCACTCTGTAGTCTCCTTACAGAAGAGACTACTACTGAAGTCCAGTGGAGATATTGGGAGCACCTGCCACCCCAATCCCAGGCTGAGACAGCCCAAACACCTACTACCACTTATCCTATTCTGAAATATCTGAAACACTGGCCACCCTCACCCCAGTCAAAGAAACACTTTACAACAAGAATTTCAAATTCCTGAGTCTACTGGAAGCGATCCTTCGATATCTATTGCCCCTGACTTTTTTTTTGTATCTACTACCCCTCACTGGTACCAGTCTTTGACTACTCCAAGGACAACTCCATACAAACTTAACAAATGAGGAGATGGAAGAACACAGTACAAATATCAGGACAAAAAAAAATTCTGAAAGGAACCCTGCCTTGGAGCTGTGCAGCACGACAGAGGGGAATTAGGATAACAGTCCTGACAACACTGATGGAATTAAAAAAAAAAAAGTAAAACAGGGCCTCCCTGGTGGTGCAAGGGGTTAAGCACCACACTATGAAGGAAGGGTCCGCAGTCTCTGCAGCACGAGATCGATCCCTAGCCGGTCAGGGAGGTGACCCACATAGCGCAGCAGACCTCTCCTGTCTCATCCCCTGCTCCCCTCAGCAGTATGTTTCAGTCTGCTGGTTCTGTTCCCCACACTGTCTCTGATGGATCCTCTCACCACCCCCAACCCGACCCACCCCCCCGCCGCCCACATCTCTGGCCTGTGCCCCAGCTCTTGTATGCATAAACAAATAAACCTTTTTTTTTTTAAAAAAAGGTAAAATATAAAGCCAATGGAGGATATAAAACAACAGAATAAAGACAATGAAAATGAGGCAGCTACATTCAGAAATAATGGAGTTAAACACTACACCTGATTTAAAAAGTACAGTTGAGAGCCTAATAGCAGATGGAGAGAATTAATGAATTTGAAAACACAATACTAGAGAACACAAGAACAGAAGAAGCTAGAGAAAAAGATGAAAGTGTAAGAGCTCACTGGGGCAACTTAAAGAGAGAGTCTATCCATTTACTGGGATCCCAGAAGAAGAAAAAGAGAAACACACAGAAAACCTACTTAAAGAAATAATCACTGGGGTGATAAGGTGGTGGGAGAACTGTGGGACTACTATGATGTAAGAAAAAATTTTTTTAATTAGTTAACACACACACACACAAAATCACTGAAAACCACTCACTCAGGGAAATGAACCAGAAGTTGTGATCCCAACTCCCAAAGAGTTCCAAACAAAATAATACTAGATAGACATACACCAAGACACCTAACAGTAAAGCTGTTTAGAACCAGTAAGTTCAGAATACTATTCAGTTTAGTACAGAATACTAAAAATATCAAGGAAAAAAGGGTAATCTATAACTAATGGGACTATCAGCAGATTCTTCAACAGGTACAGAGCTCATAAAGGGACTGGAAAGAGATAGTCAAAGTACTTAAAGAAATTACCCCCAGCCAGGAATCCTTCACCCAGTAAGATTAAAATCAAGGTAGAAGAAGGGAAAGGAACTTCACTGAAAAGCAAAAACAAAACGAACTTATCAACATCAAGTTGCCTATGAAAGACATCCTAAATGAGTTATTATAAAGTAACAGAAGAATGAAAATTGAGGCAAAAGACACCTAAGTTACTTACCATGGAGGAGAACCAGCCAGAGGCCAGACTGCCCAAGAATCACACAGTCCATCATATATTAACCTCAAGAGAGCCCTCAAACAAAAATAACAGAAGTAGCACACAAGACAACAGAAAGGGAACCTAAGCAAAACATAATAGGAAGCCCTCAAAAAAATAAAGACAAGACAAACAACAAAAACATAACAAAAATGACAATAAACACCTGTATCTCAATATAGGTATCTCAGTCACCTTAAATGTAAATGGCTTGAACTCAGTCAAAAAATTGAGAATGGCTGAATGGATTTCAAAACAAAGCCCAACGAGCTGCTGCTTACGAGAAACTCACCTTACCAACAAAGACAAGCACAGACTTCGAATTAGAGGTGGAAGGGCAGTTATACAAGCAAATGGAAAAACAAAACAAAACAAAAACAACACTAGAAGCTATACTTACATTTGATAAAATAGAATCGCAATTAAGAAAAGTAAAAAGAGATGAAGAAGGATGCTGTACTATAATTAAGGGTATTATACAAGGAGTGGCACGTACAAACACATATGCACGAAGATACATAAAACAATAACAAAACTTGAGAAATATCCCAAATATTTCCCACTTACAACAAGAGACAATATCCCACTTACAACAAGAAATATCCCATTTACAACAAGAGACAGATCAACAAGACAAAGTGCAAATAAGGAAACAACAGCTTTAAATGAGTTAGACCAAACAGGTCTATAGAACATGCCATTTAAAAACTGCTGTAGGGGCCTCCCCGGTGGCGCAGGGGTTCAGCGCTGGGTTGAGAAGCTGCCCGCAGCCTCTGCAGCACTGGTTTGATCCCTGGCCGCAGGGCGAGGGTCCCACATGGCACGCAGACCTCTCCTGCTGCCCGCTGCTCCCCTCAGCAGTGTGCTTCGTCGGTCTGCCTGTTCTGCTCCCCGCTCTGGCTCTGGTGAATTCTCTCGCCCGCCTGCACTTCTGACTGTACCCAGTGCTTGTATAAATAAGTAAATAAATAAATCTTTGAAAAAAAAAATTAAAAAAAAACAAAACAAAAACTGCTGCATACAGGGCCTTGCTGGTGGCCTAGGGATTAGGTCTAAATTCTACCACCGCTATGGCCAGCCAGGGAGCTAACCCACATATGGTGCAGCAGACCCTTCCTGTCTCACCTGCTACTCCCCTTAGCCAGTTCTGCCTGTTCTGCTCCCCCCTCTGTCTCTGGTGAATCCCCTCACCCCCAACCCCACCTCTGGCCTACACCCCAGTTCTTTTTTTTTTCAACTTTAAGAAAAAAAAGAAAAACAGAAAAAACTATGAATACATGGAGATTAAACAGGCTGCTTAATGGCGAGTGCATAAAAGAGGAAATGAAAGCAGAAATTAAAAAATACCTTCAGACAAATGAAAATTATGATATAAATTATAAAATATATAACTGATAAGGGATTAATACCCAAGGTATATAAAAACTCATAATTCCACAACAAAACCCCACAAATCACCCATTTAACAAATGGGAAGCAGATATGAACAGACAACTCATTAAAATGGATATCCAGAAGGCCTAAAGGCCTATGAAAAAATGTCACTCCTAGTAAGAGAGATACAGATTGACCCTAGAATGAGATACCACTTTATATCTGTGAAAAGATCAAAAAGAACCAGAGTAAAAGGAACACTATTTCACTGTTGGTGGGAATGTGAACTAGTGAAAGCAATCTGGATTTACCTTAAAAAATTAAAAATAGAAATATTGGGCAACCTGGCAATCCCACTCTTGAGCGTTTATCTACAGAATGTGAAACCATCAACAAAACAACCCATGTGTTCTACAATATTCGCAGCAGCATTTTATTTTTTTCCAAATCTTTTTTTTTTTTAAAGTTTTTTTTTTTTTTTTTAAATACAGTTGCTGGGGTACAGGCCAGAGGCACGGGAGGGTGAGAGGATTCACCAGAGACAGAGTGGGGAGCAGAACAGGCAGACAGACCAAAAGCACTGCTGAGGGGAGCAGTGGGCGTGACAGGAGAGGTCTGCCGCACCATGTGGGTATCTCCCTGGCTAGCTGGGAATCGAAACTACGCTGTAGAAGCTGTGGACAGCCTCACAGTGCTGTGCTCAACCATTGCGCCACTGGGTAGGCCCCGTTGCAGCATTATTTATGATAGCTCAGACATGAAAGCAGCCTACATCTCCTTCAATGGAGGAATGGATTTAAAAATACTGATATAGGACCTCCCCTGGTGGCGCAGGTGGTGGAGTGCAGCGTTGTGAAGCTGTCTGCAGCCTCTGCAGCGCCGGTTCAATCCCGGCTGACCAGCGAGAATCCCACATGGTGTGGCAGACGACGCCTGTCTTTCCCACTGCTCCCCTCAGCAGTGTATTTCGTCAGTCTGACTGTTCTGTTCCCCATTGTGTCTCTGGTGAATCCTCTCACCCTCTTGCGCATCTGGCCTGTACCCAAAAATACTGATAAATACATACCATGGAAGATTATAATACTCAAAAATAAAGGACGAAATACAGCCGTTTTCAATAAAATGGAGAGAATTTGAAAAAAATTACAGGCAGCAAAGCAAGTCAGAATGATAAAAACAAATACTGGACATTCATATAACAATTAGACAATGTACAACACTCCTGCACAATTAACTGTTATTTATTATTGCATCTGCCCTTATATGAAGATGGCATTAAACAGGGTCCAGAGCTTTGTGACTGGAGTTCCACAAATTGCCTCCATCTCTGTAGACATGTCAATCACCATTCACAATGGACCATCACTTGCTTTCATGAAAAGGAAAGCATTCAAATCCTTTTCATGGGTTAGTATGTAAATAACCAGCAGACATTGAGGCCATTAGGATAGTCAATAATAACATAATTCGAACATAAATCTAGAAAAAAATTTGCCTCCCTACCTTTCGGCAGCGAGGATTAGGACAACTGAACCTCTTCACATCACTATCCAACAAAGCAGGAAAGCTACAGGAGGGGCACCTAGAGTCAAAAGGGCAGAAGGAATATTATTCAGAATATTAAAGCCTGAATTGGTTCCATGGGGCTGTTCATACAAAGATGAAATTTCGGCTGAAGAGCTATGTTCCTTTTTTTATTCCTTAGTTTTTATTAAAACATGGAGCGAGGGTCTCCTTTTTATGTGTTTTTACCAGGAAATGCAGGTGCACTGAGGTCATGCCTCAGTGCAAACCACTGAATAATAGATAACCTCTTTCTAAGAACTTGCACATGTCACTTTGCCTCCAACCCATGCACAATGATTTAAACCTATAACCCAAATGATAAGAGGTGCCAAGGAATGTAGATAAATGTGAGCTGCAGATTTTTCCATTCATAAAGTTACCCTTTCATTCCTCAATAAGAAATGCCAGAAATCCCAAAAGATAGACCTTCATTACAGAATTTTCATTTCATCATCTGATTAAAGTCTTCCTAATGGGGGACAAGCTGACAGATGACACTCTCCAAATCTGAGCACTCACCTGACAAGCTCATCAGCGTAGGCTGCAGCAACTTCTTCTTCGGCTTTTCGCTCATAGTATTTATACAAGATGGTCTGGGGAAGCACCTTTTCCAGTTCACTGGTTGGAAATGAACATGTGCAGCTGCCTTCCATGCAGCTGAGCTCTGACTAGAATAAGGTAAGGAGGCAAAGGAAAAAAAAAAAAAACAGGACAATTCAATCAAGTTTTCAGAAAAACAAAAAGACTCAGTAGCTAAATGCACTTTTCAAGGGGAAGTAAATAAACATTGGTTAAGAACACAGACTTTTGAGATGTGAAATCTTTCGCTTTCCTCTCCTCTAAAATGCCACACCCCAAAACAAGGACACAATGATATAAAAACACAGTGCCACAACAGGACTTCAGTCAGTCCCTATCACAATACATGAAGACAGAAAGCAGATGAGGAAGAGTAAATGGCTTAGCAGAAGAGAGGAGTGTCACAGCTATGTCTGAAAAGGAGACACTCATGAGAAGCAAGTTGATTCCTCTACAGACTTGGGAAAGCGGTTGGTCTAGACCCCTTAGAAGACAAAGGTGAGGGCCTCTCTGGTGGCGCAGCGGTTGAGCGCTGGGCTGCAAAGCTGCCCGCAGCCTCTGCAGTGCTGGTTCAATGCCCGGCCTCCAGTGAGGGTCCCACATGGCGCGCAGATCTCCCCTGCCATACCTGCTGCTCCCCTCAGCAGTGTACTTTGTCAGTCTGCCTGTTCTTCTCCCTGCTCTGGTGAATTCTCTCACCCTCCCATGCTTCTGACTGTACCCAGTGCTTGTATAAATAAATAAATAAATCTTAAAAAAAAAAAAAAAAAAAAAAAGACAAAGGTGAGTGGTGGGAGGTAATGGGACTAATAGCAAGATAAACTAAGAAAGAAAAGGTGGTTTGTTTATAAAACTTCCAGTTCCTACCCCTTCAGTTGGAGTCATGAGTCTAACAGTAGTCTCTGGAAGAGGTAGACCAGAGGTCTCTGGACTTGATTCTAGGTTGAGTCCTTCTCATACCACATCACTCTGATCTTCTCTTCTGCCTCTTGTCCATTTTTGAGGACCTGTATGATTACACTGGTCCACTTGGACAGCCCAGGGTAATCTCCCTATTTTAAGATCATTTAATTAGTAGCCCATTTCCCTTTTCCATGTGAGGTAACATATTCACAGGTTCCAGGAATCAAAACATGGATATCTGGAGTGGGGGTAAGGTGGGGTAGGTGGGGCATGTTATTCTGCCTATCACAGTCTACTCATGTTTAGTACTTAATCTTTGACTAAACAACAAATGACTTTAGAATAATTGATGCCAAGTGATTTGAATATTTGATTTGATTTGAAAAAGCAAAAGATTTATTTATACAAGAACTGGGGTACAGGCCAGATATGCAGGGAGGGTGAGAGGATTCACCAGAGACAGAGCAGGGAACAGAACAGGCAGACTGACTGAAATATACTGCTGAGGGGAGCAGTGGGCAAGACAGGAGAGATCTGCTGCGCCATGTGGGTATTTTGCCGGCCAGCCGGGATCGAACCTGCGCTGTAGAGGCTGTGGAGAGCTTCACAGTGCTGCGCTCAACCACTTGTGCCACCAGGGAGGCCCAAAAAAGCAATTTTGATTTGTAAGTGCTAAGACATACTGTATTATTCTGGTGGCAAGAGAAACTGACTTTGAAGAGAAATATTATCTTGTATAAAATAGCTATTCACTTCAACTATAAAATCTTTTTTTAACACTTTTTTTTTTTAATTTATAGAGGCATGTTTTTATTTATTTATGTTTGTTTGTTTGTTTTTGTTTATACATGCACTGGGTACAGTCAGAAGCGCGGGAGGGCGAGAGAATTCACCAGAGCCAGAGCGGGGAGCAGAGCAGGCAGAAGGACCGAAGTACACTGCTGAGGGGAGCAGCGGGCGGCAGGAGAGGTCTGCACGCCATGTGGGACCCTCCTCCGGTGGCCGGGGAGCAGCTGGGGATCGAACCGCTGCACTGCAGAGGTCGCCGGCAGCTTCGCAACCCAGCGCTCAACCGCTGCGCCACCAGGGAGGCCCCAACTATAAAATCTTTTAAGAATTTTTAGTAAAAACATACTAATATACTCTGATGCATTCAAAGACTGATAGGTTCTCTCTTTTTGAGCTCATTCTACACTTCTGTTATAAACAGGAGTAAAGAAGTGCATGCTGGGGCCTCCCCTGGTGGTGCAGTGGTTGAGCGCTGGGCTGCGAGGCTGCATGCAGCCTCTGCAGCACCAGTTCGTTCCCTGGCTGCTGGCGAGGGTCCCACAAAAAAAAAAAAAAAGGAAAAAAAAGAAGTAAGTGCTCCTGTGGAGCTACACATGGAGGCATGGAAGAATTATCCCATTCCCTGAAAAGAAATCTGCAATGCTCAGAAGCAATATAATCACACAAACTGGAAAAGTGCATAGGAATTACGCACGTTTGCTTGTCTTAGTAAAGACATTTAACCTTGTCTATTAATGTGGTCTCCTCACTCTGAAATGTTTCCTATGCATGGACATATTAACACGGTTCTTACCTTTCCAGATCCAAACACTGCCTCCTGGGCATATCTGATGAGGCACTCTTTGCAGAACAAGTGCGCATCTGCACACTGTGTAAGCTCCTCAAATGGAAATTCCCCATAGCAGCAGCGGCACTCAATCAACTGGCCATCCTGCAGGTCATCAGAAACACACAGGAAATTCTCTACAGTCAAGTAGAGGGGACAGTCATGTCTCATATTCCCCCATGCCCAAATACACCGAGGTAAAAGCAATTCCTAGAAGCCATATAGTAACGAGTTGTTTTCTGCTGTGTAAATCTGGCTCAAGATGTTAACACAAATATGAAATACATCATGACAGTGAGATTTTCTTTGTTCCTTCCCACCCCATTCTCTGCATGGTTCCATGGTGCCAGCAGAACTATCTGTAATCAGATGATAATATGATTATAAAAATCAGTGACAAAGGGCAGGAGGGATATTATACAAAAAGCTTCAAAAGCGATTTTGTTCTTGTTAGAAGACGGGCACATGAGGGGATTGTGTCGTGGTCCAAACTTTATAATTTTTTTTTTTTTAAAGATTTTTTTTTTTTTTAAGATTTATTTATTTATTTATACAAGCACTGGGTACAGTCAGAAGCGCGGGAGGGTGAGAGAATTCACCAGAGCCAGAGCGGGGAGCAGAGCAGGCAGAAGGACTGAGGTACACTGCTGAGGGGAGCAGCGGGCGGCAGGAGAGGTCTGCGCGCCATGTGGGATCCTCCTCCAGTGGCCGGGGAGCAGGCGGGGATCGAACCGGCGCTGCAGAGACTGCGGGCAGCTTTGCAACCCAGCGCTCAACCGCTGCGCCACCGGGGAGGCCCTATGTGGTCCAAACTTTAATGCAATGAATTACAGAAGCTAACTAAAGCAGCAACTTCGAGTACTGTGAGTACTGGGAAATCAACTCTTTATTAATGGCAGTCATTATCCAGTCATCAATCCATTTCAGCAGACACTGTACAAAATTCACCTGGTCCTGAGGTTAGACACAGCTTTCCTTCTCTCTCTCTTCTGACTAAGTGATATCTGAGTTTTAAGCTTTCCTCTTAAAAGTATATCCAACAAATTTCAGGCATTTAAATGGAACATTTCTTTTTTCTTTTTAAAAAAGATTTATTTATTGGGCCTCCTCTGGTGGCGCAGCAGCTGAGCGCTGGGCTGCCAAGCTGCCCGCAGCCTCTGCAGCGCTGGTTCGATCCCTGGCCGCAGGCGAGGGTCCCATATGGCGCATAGACCTCTCCTGCCACACCTGCTACTCCCCTCAGCAGTGTATTTTGTCAGTCTGCCTGTTCTGTTCCCCACTCTGGCTCTGGTGAATTCTCTCACCCTCCTGTGCTTCTGACTGTACCCAATGCTTGTATAAATAAATAAATCTTAAAAAAAATTTATTAATTTATGCATACAAGAACTGGCCAGAGGTGTGGGGGGGTGAGAAGATTTACCAGAGACAGAGTGGGGAACAAAACAGGCACATTGACTGAAATACACTGCTGAGGGGAGCAGCGAGTGAGTCAGGAGAGGTCTGCTGCTCCATGTGGGTAGCTCCCTGGCTGGCCGGGGGATGGAACTCCTGCTGCAGATGCTGCAGACAGCTTTATAGTGCTGTGCTTAACCCCTTGCGTCACCAGGGAGGCCCTAGAGCATTTCTTTTTAAAAAATGTATTTACACACACACACCCCTCCCCCCATCATTGTTCATTTTTTTAAAGAGATTTATTTTTATTTATTTATGCATACCAGAACTGGGGTGTAGGCCAGATGTGAGGGGAAGAGAGGATTCATCAGAGTGGGGAGCAGTACAGGTGGATCTACTGAAATGCACTGCTGAGGGGAGCAGTGGGTAAGACAGGAGAGGTCTGCTGCGCCATGTGTGCTAGCTCCCTGGCCAGGGATTTAACTCATGTCACAGTGGCTGGCCATAGCTTTATAGTGCTGAGGCTTTAACTGCTGCGCCACCAGGAAGGCCCCATCATTGTTCATTTTTGTACAATGTTTGATTTCTCCTCTCAGATGTAGCCCCCATAAAATTCCCACCACCAAGTCACCCATGAACCATCACCATAGTCTCTTGTGTTCTTCCTGCCTGTTTTAATCACCTTCCCTACCCCCCAGGGTCTCTGATTTATAGTTTGCTTGCTAGTTTTGTCTTATCTCTTCCCACCCCCAATCCCTTGTTTGGTTTCCCTCTGTTTCTCTTATAAGTGAAACCTTCTGATACTTTTCTTTTTCCTTCTGACATATTTCACTGAGCATAATTCCTTCCTTAAATGGAATATTTCTATTATTATCTTCCCATCAATTCTGATCCAGTCTGGTATTGAGAGTGACTATACTGATTCATGTTCTCACTGTATTTTGGCAAAGCACAAACTTAGCATATACAGCATGGAAAGAATATGTCACCAAAAATGCCAAGGAAATGTAGTAAAAGAAAACAATCCATGAAAATGCCCATAATAAATGAATTAGGTGAAATGTCAAATTACCTTTTGATACTGTTCCTCATTCATCTGCAGGGCAAGCAAAAAGTCTTCATGCTGAGGAACAAAAAAACCATACACACAGATGCAACTTCAGTAAAGATGCCATAATCCATTTAGAATTTATTTCTATAAACATAGAAGAACTCTAATATTAATAGTCATCTTTTCAGCAACATAGTTTAGTAACTTAAAGAGTTATCTGAGAGTAAATTTAAAATTTATGTGAAAGCTAAATATGAAAAAAGAAACCATCCAAGAACTAGAAAATGTGGGGGAAACTTCCTTATGTATGACTCAAAATGTAGAAGAATTAAAGGAAAAGACTGACACATGAAACACTTTTGAGAACAGTGGAGAAAGCAAAAGCAAACAGAAAAATCCGTTTCACAACATTTTTTCTTAGTGAGCCTGGGCAGGAAACAGATACTCATGTATGTAACTGGTGAGAAAGCAAAATAGTACAACCACCAAGGAGGGGAATTCAACACTTTGTAATGAAGTATTTACCATCTGATTCATCATTCTCAGTTCCAGAAATCTACGCTAAGGATACCTTGGGCAGAAATATGGAATAACTGAATCAACTCTGGTACTACAGAAAATGGTATGCCGGGCAGTCTTAAAAAGGAAAGAGAAAAATCTGTGGGTTGCTGTGAGCACCAGGTTGTACTGGTGAGTAAAGCAAGGGGCATAAGACTGTAGTACCTTTTAGGTAAGAAAGAAGGGTTTTAAAAAAAATCCATTTTTTATATATTACATAGTTGCTTTTATATAAAATAAGGAAAGTTAAACCAAAAACCATTAACAATGGTTTATGTGTAGAAGGAGGGAGGGAGAATGGTGAGGGAATATTTTTAGCTTTAATTTTGTCCTTATATTTTACATAACTGAAGAGCAAAATTATAAAACAAAATAAAGCCAATTCTCTGTAACTCAAAAATAAAGAGACAAATGTCTTTATTAAATTAATGGCATAACCACACACTTATTTCACATGACAATATTTGGATTTCATATTCCTAATTTGGTATAATCTGACAAGAAATTATAAATTAATCTTACACTGTATTTATCAATCTTGTTATAATATTTGGGCTGTAATAATATTGGGGCGGTTATTTGGGATATATTACTATAGAATAAAGGAAACTAAGGTAATTATGTTATTGCTATTAAAAACCAAATTTTCAACAAAAGAGAAAAGAAATAAAATTAAAGAAGTAAAAAGTCTGTAAACTAAATTTAAAATAGAAATTTCAGTATGAATTCCCTTGGAACAAAAACAACTATATGGCACCTGGGAGAAATTGTTGCTTCCAGGTCAGGAAAAGTAGAAGATGAACCTGGGTAACCCCATGTCCCAGAAAGTAAGGGTTCTATCAGAAATGACCCGGGCCAGGACAGAGGAACTAACCTGAAGGGGATGCAACCAGCCAAAAATAGGACAATTGAACTTCAAAAGGAATGAGTACAATGAACTATAATATATCCAATCACTGTGCCAATACTATTAACACTTTTCAGATGTGGTAGATGGTGATATTAATGAATGCAATGTTTTGATACTGTCCCATGAAAAGTGCCAATATTTGGAAGACCTATGTAATGTAATCTGCACTTTTCATGAAAAAATCATGCATATTTGAAAGATCCAGTCAAAGAAAAAGCTACAATAGCGATTTTAAGGTAACAGATGATTGCAGATGGATAACTCTGATAGATGGATCAAGATGACAACAACTTCTCTAAAATTCTCATTTCTGTTTGAGATCTAGAATTTTATCACTGGCCATGAATAATCATTTCATTCATTTTGAGAAAATGTGGGTCAAATAACTAATTTTGAATAATCCTAGTTTTCCTGTAAGTCATTTTTTTCAAGCAAGTATGTTCTGTGGGGGGAAGTGTCTAATTCAACAGCTGGCATCTCAATGGCACAGGTGCTTCTCCTAGAGACAACCCCTGCAGTCATTATGAAGCACTTTGTGCATATTTCCCTTTCAGTCTAAAGTATTGAAGATGTTTTTGAGAGTCAAAATTTGATAATTTTTTACGATTTCATCAAGAACCTTTGGTGACACTGGCTTTTTTTTTTTTGTGGCGAGGAAAATGATAATAGTACCATTTTGTGTGTCACTCACTTGATTCATGCTAACAACCAATAGCTTTTGTTTCATCACCACGAATTCTATACAGTGAAAAAGGCAAATAATGTCCAATCACTGTGAGAGATCTGACCATGCCGACCCTCTAAAAGAGCCTGGAAGAAACCAGGGATCCTTGGGCAATACTCAGAGCTGCTGGTCTAGAAAATACATATTAAATAATCTGTATGTATTTCCTGATTGATGTGCATGTTTGATAAAATATTTTGCAGAACCTAAGAGCTAACAGAATTTTTCTGGTTTTTCTCCACTGTTAGAAGTCGAAGGAGACAGGTACGTTTGCCAAGTAAATCTGATTTATAAAACTGTGAACTTTAGCTGGTATCATCACAAAACACAGTTTTGTTTTCCTTTTAAAAGCTTTATAGTTTATTCAAATTAATCACTGTAAATAAAAGGAAGATCTTAAAGGACAGTTTTATATTAAGCACTAACAGCAAACCAGAATCCTAGATAAACATTCTTACCTCTGCCATCTCTTTGACTTTCTGCTCATAGAACTCCTGTTCCTGCTGCACAGCTGGTAGGAGGGCACGCCGGTCATAGGATCTACAATGTCGCCGTTTATTTTCCAGAAAAAACATCCTTTTTTCTATTTTTATGTCACCTTAAAGATATATGACAAAGCAGACAACTGTTAAGAATCCAGGCCAACCACTCCAGTGTTCTGTGGCCTTTACCCACATCTATTTTCTCTCAGCAAATTTCATGACAATCCTACATTTGGGAAAACTGAGCTACTTATTACCATTTCCCAACCTAACATGTACTTTTGACTTTAAGTCTTTTATCCCTTGTTATGCTCCAAAATGAGCATTATTTCTTCCATCAGTTCTAAACCATTCTACTACTGAGGACCAGCTGGGTTTACAGTTTAGGGTAATTATGAAAATGGCCAGTAAGCATGTCTGCAATGTAGTTAAGCACTCATGAAGTAGAACTGCCAGATCAATCAAGTTGGTTGTACCAACTCACACTTTCTCTATACATGTGTTGAGTCACTCCACATTTTCATCAACACATAGTATAGTCAGTTTTTACTTTTAATGATTCTGCTAGATGCATATGTTTAATGTTTTTTAAATTATTTTGAAAATTTTAAAATATACTGAAAAGCTGAAATACTAGTGCCTAGTTTCACAACAAATAACATTAAAATAAAAGATAACAAAATGAGATATATCACATAAAATTATCTATTCAGATTTTCTACTTCTTTCTTTGATTTGGTAACTTAGTTTCCAGAAAACTGTCTATATTCCATCTGGAATTTCAATTTACTCACTGAACTACTCTTTAGATTTTCACTAGTTTAAAAAAACTTACGTTTATTCAGAAAGCCAATTTTGGTTCTCTATTGTGTTCTATCAATCTATGTGTTTATCTTTCTGCCATTACTACCCAGCCTTAATCACTGTAGCTATGTGTTAAGTCTTGAAATCAGATAAACTAATTTCTCCCTTTTAAAAATAATTTTAGGTATTCTAATATCTTGCCTTGCCATATACATTATAGAGTAAGATTGCAGAATCTACAAAAAAAAACCTTGGTAGCATTTTGATAGGCATTACAATAAACATGTGTATCAATTTGGAGAGAATTTACATCTTACTATGTTAGTCTTTCAATCCATTAACACAGTACAGCTCTCCATTTATTTATATCTACTTTCTACTATTTTCACCATATAAATTATGTCCACATTTTGTTAGACTATACCTATTTTTTTGTTTGTGTGATCATAAATGCTATGATTTCTGCATGCTCACTACTAGTATAAAGACATACAACTGGGGCCTCCCAGGTGGCACAAGGGTTAAAGTCAGTGCTATCAAGCTATCTCTAGCCACTGCGCATGAGTTCGATCCCCAGCCAGGGAGCTAACCCACATGCTGCAGCAGACCTCTTCTGTATCATCTGCTGCTCCCCTCAGCAGTACATTTCAATAGATTAGCCTGTTCTGCTCCCCACTCTGTCTCTGGCGAGTCCTTTCACCCCGCCCTGCACCTCTGGCTTACAGCCCAATTCCTGTATGAATAAATGAAAATAAATCTTTAAAAAAAAAAAAAAAAGGCATACAACTGTTTTTTTTTGGGTTGAGCTTATATTCTGCAACCTTACTGAACTCAGCTGTTTATTAGTTCTAGTTTCTTTTTAGCTCCCCTGAAGTTTTCTAGATAGATGATCATGTCATTTGCTTATAGGAAGTTTTATTTCTTCCTTTCTAATCTGTACCCCTTATTTCTCTTATTGTGTTGGCTAAAACTCCAGTACTATGTTAAACAGTGGTGAATAGAAGATATCCTTCGCTGTTTCCTACATGAAGGGTAGAGGATTTATCATTAAGTGTGATGTTGAGGAAGTTCCTCTAAGTTATGAATTTTTTGGTTTTAATCATGAATAATGCGAAATATTGTTAATTTTTTGCATTAATTTATATAATTATGTAAATTTTCTTCTTTAGTATGTTAATATGGTGAATTAGACTGATGAGTTTTCAAATGCTGAACCAGTCTTGCACGCTTAGAATAGACCCTACTTGGTCGTAATGTGTATCTTTTTTTTATATATATTGCTTAAGGTACTTTGTTGAGGATTCCTTGCATCTATATTTATGATGTATACTTGTCTATAGTTTTCTTTTTTGTAGTCTATGTTATCAAGGTAATACAGGTTTCATTAAATGAATTGGGAAGTGTTACCTACTCTTCAAAGTTTTCTGGATGAGACTGTATAGATTGGTGTCAATTCTTCTAAATGTGCTGGGAAGAATTTTTCAGAGAAATCAAACAGCACTGAAAACTTCTTTCATGAATTCAATTTCCTTAATATTTTATAGGGTTATTCAAATTATTTCATATGGTTAAATTTGGTAGCTTGTGTTTTTTTAGGGATTGGTTCATTTCATCTAAGTTGTCTCAAGTTGTGCACAAAGTATTCCTATTTGGATGTTTGTGGAGGCGACAGTACCAGAAGGGATATCACTTCTGATATCAGTAATTTGTAACTTATCGCTTCTGTCTTGGTCAGTCTTGCTAGAGGTGATAATGCAATATGTGATATGCAGTATTTTTACTTGTGTTCTGTTTATATTCAGATTCTAGTCAGATTCTCCACAAGAAGACTATGTAGCAGACTTGCAAGATCACAGAAAGGACAGTGGAGGGAGAACACTCTCATTAAGCCAAGTGCTTAGATGGAACACAAGCTACAAAGGCAAAAAAATGTGATTCCTGGAATGGATGTAGGATTTTAAGCCTAACTGAATAGGTTCAGTGTATCTACTAAGTCATAAATATTAAACTACTAATATAACTCAAGTTTGTTTTCTATTTCTAACTTCTAATTTCCTTAAAGATGATCTAATGAATACAATTTAAGAGTTAGAATCTAAAATTAAAGGAATATGCCTGCGAGAATGGACTGAAACTAAAAGGATCAAGTTAACAAGGAGAAAAAAGAGGTTTGTGACTTAAAAGCAAGCTGGGTAAAAAGACTGAGGCGCCACGTGAACCAACAGTAAGGCACACTGTGATTTTAAAAGGTTATTGTGTTCTTGGGCTGCATGAATTGAAGTACAGAATGTAAATTCTAGCTGTGGTCTCTACACACCAGACCTCATTTGCAGTACTTTGTCAAGTCCTGTACACCCAAACTTTCAATGAGATACTGATAAGCTAGAAAAGGGCACAAGAAGAAGCATAATCAGGAAGACGAGGCAACAGAGCATTTCCAAGACTTTTCAAAGGCAAGAAATTTTAGCAAGGGGCATTGTGGGAAGATGTAAAGAAAGAACTTTGTATAAAATATGGCTGAATGAAGGCATGGCCTGACTTATGAAATAGTGTTTTCCTTACTACTGAAAGTCAGAGACAAATACTGAATGAATCAGGGATGCCTAATTTAAACTGTAGATACACTTACAGGTGAATGAAAAATGACTACCCACTCTCTCACTGTGCCACACTAGCGAGAAAGTCATGCCAGGAGAGCACTGTTTCACAGAGTAGTATGAGGACCTAGAGTCAAACCCTATAGGATTTCCTTTTAGATCCTAAAGAGTTCACATCCAGATAATTTCCAACTCTACAGTTATCTCATGGGTCTGCCATTTTAGGTGCTCCTGAAATCAAGCTATGCAAGGAAGATGGGATATAACAGAAAGAAAAGCAGGAGAGAAGGAAAGGGCAACATTACTATTTATGACATATAGGAAAAGTTGTAAAGGGCTCTTTTCTTGGACACAAGCAATGAAGGTGAGATTTGTTCTACTCAACAAGTTTACATTGCGGGGGAAGGTAGATCTAGCAGAATTTAAAATAAACACGTGCCTATTTAAGGGCCATTATTTTTTTCTGTGCAGAAGTTACTCTTTCAGGTAAGGGACCCCTTTGTAGACAAGTAGTGGTTTAGGCAGATTTTACTAATGGAAGGCAAATTCTTGTCAAACCCAAAGGTTTTTCCTAAGCTCAAGTGTCCCCAATACTTTTCCACAAATGAATTCTCTTATACTGCACAAAATCTTCCTGCTGTGGTGTATCTTAAGCAGAAAAGACTGAAGCAACTTTCTAAAAATACTGATGTGCTGTTAAAGTAGCAAGAGCCATTCCTCAGACTGGTTTGGTCAGGCATTCTCTAAGTAGCCAGTACCATGTCACCCCTAACAGCTGTGTGGGAAAGAGAAGGTTCTACAGAGCAGCTTCACACACTGTCAATAACACCCACAGTTTGTCATTACCTTGTTCAAATTTGAAATCTATGTAAGAATACTGATTCATTTCTTTTCTCTTTTTTCTTTTTCCACTGGTTTCTGGTGATAGTTCCTGCCATTTCTTAATGGCATCAGAAAAGGCCTAAAAATTAAGAAAGGAAAAGATTACCACCATAAATGAGACACAAGAATATATGAAACATAGAAATCCCCAGATTTCACTTGGATTCATAGTTTCAACTATCTTGCGTGCATGACTTACCCAAAATTGGTAGTGGCAAAATATATAAGGTAGCAACCCACTATTTTTATTTTTTCTGACTTTCATACAATGGCAGAACCAAAATGCTTACTGACAAATTAAAGGGCGACATAAGAAAATAAAAACACTGGGCCTCCCTGGTGGCACAAAGGGTTAAGCACCACACTATGAAGCAATCCGCAACCCACGTGGCACAGCCAGACTTCTCCTGACTCGCCCGCTGTTCCCCTCAGCAGTGTACTTCGGTCAATCTGCCTGTTCTGTTTCCCACTGTCTCTGGTGAATCCGCTCACCCCCCGCATCTCTGGCTTGTACCCCAGCTCTTGTATGCATAAATAAATAAATCTTTTTTAAAAAAAAACAAAACAAAACACCTTATGGATCTTTAAAAAAAAAAAGAAAAAAAGAAAAACATTCAAGCTGTCTTTTAATTAGTACAGGTTAAATCACGTAATAAATGGTTAGGGAGTACTATTTTGTAACAGATATCCCACCATAGCATTTCTCCAGTCTACATTCCCTCCTCCACTTTCCACAAACCTCCTTCCCCCATATTCCTGTTAGCTTTCACCAACACTCCTGCTCTCCCTAGCTCCAAGTTCTTATACCAATAATAATACCTTTGCTTCCATATTTTAATATCCCTTTTTTTAGACCTTTCCAACAATGAGTATTTAAAAGTATTTGAGTTTTTGCAATCTAAAACAAAAAAAAACATGTCTTCCTCTTTCAGCTACCAGCCTCTCTTCTTCCTTCCCTTTATAGTCTAACTTACCAAAGGAACTGTTTGCATGTTGTTTCATCACCTCACCTGCGTGAGCTCTCTAATTCCCTCTAACCTGGCATCTAACCCAAGATTCTACATCTAACATCAACTTATAAGAACAGAGAAACTGGTTAGTGACAACACAGGGTACAGACAACAAAATTTAGAATGTTAAAACCTATGGGATGAGTCACACATTTTCTCAACAAATAAGCTGCAAGAAAATATTAAGCGGAAGTGAGAATTAACAGATTAAAAGAGACTTAAGTATTACATCAAACAACTGCAATAAACAGATTTTTTCATGAAACCTGGTATGACAAAGTAAGCTGTTAAAAAGGTTTCTGACACACCCAGAGAAATCTGAATACCTTTGGTGTGACAAGGATAAAGATTTTTTTAAAGAGTCTATCTTTTAAAAGTAAACACTGAAATATATATGGATGAAAGAAATGAAATGATGCTTACAATTTGCTTTAAAACAGTCTAGGGAAGGAGGCAGACAGGAGTAGAGATGAAACAAGACTGAACAGGATTTGGTAATTACAGAAGTCGACTGGTTATAAAACCATCTCAACTTTTATATGTGTTTGATGTTTATGAATAGAAGTTTAAACAAACAAACAAACAAACAAACAAACAGGGAAATGTAATTCTACACCGTGACCATACTTCCTCTATAGTATCATCATGTTTGGGGAGTGGCATAGAGAAGACATGCTATTACTACACTTAGAAAACACCTGTGGGTGTACTGTCCACATTCCTATGCACATGAGCATGCTTCCCACAGGGCAGAACTCTGCACAAAGCAGGGAGAAGTTCTAACTCCCAACTGAACATCAGGTTTTAGCTTCTGCTGAACAGTATTTCTCCTTACTCACTTCCACTTTTATTCAAACATCCAACCTACTCCATTTCAAAATTCTAAAATGTCAAACTATCCAAACAAGCAGATATCATAAAAAATATAAAGGTCTAAAAAAGGGGTAAGGATAGTATGGACAAGCACTGAGTCACAAAACCCTAGAACACCCCCCCCCCAAATTCAAATAATGAATAGGGTGTGGGTTGATCAGACGTTGGGCGGGAAAAGCACCTGCTGGCATAGTTTCTGATGGTGACAGGGATGTTACTAGTGTGGACCAACCCCACCTGCAGTGGGAGCTGCCCTTTTTACTCCCTGGGAGTTCAGAAAATAAGCAAAGCACCACTAGTACAAGAATGATGCCTGGCAGTGCCTAACAACATAAGAGCCCTTTCTTTCTTATGGTCATTAATTCTAGGCAAAAGCTCATTCAATTTTCAATGACAGTACAAACATCCCTATTTCGCATGAAGAATGCAATTCAGAAATAGAAAGCACCAATTCTATGTTCCTTTCAGAATAATTTTACCCATAATTAACCTACAATTAGGGATTTGTTGACAGTTGCCTGATCTGCATGATAATCTAAAGGTGGAAGAGATCTAGAGTAAGCACGAGGCCACATTCACTTGGTGGTTCACATTCCTTCAGGTAAGACCCAATGGGTATTTTAACTAGTAAAATAACTCCACATTTGTTTGTCCTTTGGAATAAAGGAGCAGGAGAAAGGGACTTCATGGCAGTAAGAAAGACCAAGAGGAGCAAGCCAACAACCTCTTCTGACTTGTCTGAAACCATGAAGTGGGTCCTGTGCAACAAACGAACTGCATTAACAAGGCATGTGCAAGTTACCCACTAATGACCATCCTTCTATATCTTGGAACAGAAAGCCTAATGTGGATCTTATTCAGAGTCTTGGGGGGAAAAATGTTGGGAGCTTCTAGTAGCTAACTACTTTGAGGCAAACCACTACTCACTAGGCAATGCTGGGTTTCTGAGCTCTTTAAAGACCTACTCATGTACCAAGCTACACTCACTACATTAACATTTACAGCCTTGGATAAAGGCAGTGGGAAGCTGGTCAGAAGTCAGACTGTCTACCTATTTATATTATTTCATGTTAATCTGACCTGACCAAATAAAGGGGCTCGAGAAAGCACTCCCTTGAAGTCAGTCAGGCTAATATACTAAACTTTTCATCCTTGGATAGTTGTTGCTGCCTTGATTAAATTTAAGTTGCATCACATCTGAAAAGTCTTAGTTAACCAGACAGAGAAGATTACCCACCATAGGAGAGTCTCTGGTGAACAGGTATCTCTTTATTTATGTTTAAAATAACCAGTTGATTAGGTCAAAAGATGATTTATAGACTGCACATAAAATGACTGATGAACAAGCCACCTGGGGAAGGACTGTGTGAACACCCTACGCCAGACAGCAAATCAAGGAGCAGCAGCATGGGAGCACATCGTTCATACTCTAGTCATCCTGCATTCCTTACTAAAATTTATTACCCTCCATGTCTTTATGAGCAAACCAGAATTTCCCTGTTTCTAATCTATTATTTCTTTTCATTTAGTTCTTCCTGATCAGCAAATACCTTTGTCTATTTATCTTCACCCTGACAAACTCCTTAGCTCTTTGCCATCATAAACCATCCCAATTTTCGCAAGCTGAACTCTTCCTTCTGTTATCACGGGAAGAAGTGGTCAAGAGGTGTGACCCCCACCAGGAGGACCAAGTAGAGCACCTTTCGGGTGATTGCATAGTGTCCCTTGAGCTCATGCAGGGCCCACTTGATGTCCTGACTGCTGAGCATTTTGAAGTCGGCCATCAGAAGGTCAGCAGCTTGGATGAAGCAGCGCTGGTCAAGAGGAGCCAATTTAGAATAGTCAAAAAAGTCTATTTTAGGCAACTGAAACGAGAAAGGCACAATATTAGAGACCGAATGGTGCATTTCCCATAAAGGAAATTCTAAGCATTAATGCTTAGAATAAACATATTTCCTTCCTGCTACAGAAAATGTAAAAGAGCTAGTGAAAAGATTTTGTGGGGAGTAAAAGGATCAAGTAATAGGCCCTAATGAAGCACTGCTGAACTATACTATCTTTTAGCATACAATAAATGCTACTCTGGAACATAAATAAAGACCAACAATTGAGAATTAAAATTTCAAACTGTTTATATTTGGTTAAACAGGTGTCTGCAATAATATAAATCTTACACCAAAAGAAAAACTAAAGAGATATTGAGAAGTAGGTAATCTGCATGCTTAAGTATTTAAGGGGAAATGCATTGATGTTTTTGTGATTTACTTTAAAATGCATTAAAATGAAACAAAATGTAAGATCTGTGCTGATGCGCAGATGGATGGATATGTGACAAAGTCGACCTAATAAAACATTAATTTTAACAGTATTGTTGGTGGATACATACGTTATCAATGTAAAATTTTTCAACTTTATTGTATGTCTGAGATTTTCATAATAAAATACTTTAAAAAATGAACTAAGGGCCTCCCCGGTGGCGCAGCGGTTGAGCGCTGGGTTGCGAAGCTGCCGGCGACCTCTGCGGCGCCGGTTCGATCCCCGGCTGCTCCCCGGCCACCAGAGGAGGGTCCCACATGGCGCGCAGACCTCTCCTGCCGCTCGCTGCTCCCCTCAGCAGTGTACTTCGGTCCTTCTGCCTGCTCTGCTCCCCACTCTGGCTCTGGTGAATTCTCTCACCCTCCCGTGCTTCTGACTGTACCCAGTGCATGTATCAAACAAACAAACAAATAAATAAATAAAAACATGCCTCTATAAAAAAAAAAAAAAAAGAACTAAAATGACAGAAAAAATTCTGGTGAATTTGTGTTTTATTTTAGAAATCTGCTTTGGAGGATTAAAGAACTGGAAGATTTGTTTAATTCTTTGTTGCAAATGGAAGACAGAGTTACAACTGAAAGACGCTAAATACAGAATGTAAAGTGGCTTAGATGGGGAAATCCCACCGAATTACAAATATATTCTGCAATCTTATTTCCCCAGCTAGTCTTTAAAAATGTCTCCCAACAAAGCATTTTCTTCCCATTAAGATCATCAATAAAACAGGGCATGCTTAGGTAGAGACTGCAAAACCAGAGTGTGACACTTGCCTTTGTCTCATCTTGGCTGGCAAGCAGGCTGCTACTGGGGTTGATAATGACTCTATCTTCTCTCTTTGGATAATCTGGATTTTCCAGAAGAAAATTACAGAGTCTGCAAAAATAAATGATGTTACTTTCATACTGCTTCAAATCCCATTCTTTCCCATTGATTCTAATACAATGTTTGAAAAACAGTCCTTAGCCAGACATTATAATTAAGCCAATCAAGGAATTAAAATATTTGTAGATCAGAAAAACTAAACAAATAGACAAATAAAAGATAATTGCATTGAATTTCTAGTTATGCTTGCTAGTTTTAAAAGCAATAAACGTATTGATAAATGTGAACTCATCTGAGCTTTACCATTACTTGAGTGTTAATGTAATGAAGTCACTGAAATTTTTATTGGTTGAACTATATGAAACTAGAGAATTTAGATTAAAAGTATCTATTATTTGAACAAATGGGGGGGGGAACAAAGTGTGTATTCACATTCACAGTAAAAAAGTTTGCTAACTGTTAATAAAATAAAAAAGACCTTCTGTTAATTCATTAACAGTTTTTGTTACTCCATGATAATACAAATGCATACTAAGAGCAATCTGAGTGATGTTCAGTTTACTTAACTAACTGCAAGGCTGAAGAATAGGCTGTATTTTCTTAAGAACAGATTCTCTTTATGCCAAACCTACAGTTTTCTCTATCACTAGTATGAAATACTGCACAGGTAATAATACAATGATGTATCACCACAAGGATTTAATAAATGTTGACTAGCAACTCTTTACCCTATCTAAGTTAGACAACAAACAAATCATCTGGGGATGATTCCAGTGACAAGGACGGGCAGGGCAGGGTGTAGCAGCAGGCACTCCATAACAAGAAAGCTCCTGCATTCATAGGGCAACTGTGGATTCCCTCTCCTTTCTCCTTCCTACACCTGCTCCTGCAGATTCTTAGGGATGACTCCACCACCTATTAGGTGCCTATCCTTTTTTTTTTTTTAAAGAAAGATTTATTTATTTATACAAGAAATGGGGTATAGGCCAGAGGTGTGGGAGGTTGAGAGAATTCACCAGAGACAGAGCAGGGAGCAAAACAGGCAGACAGACCGAAAACACTGCTGAGGGGAGCAGGAGGTGAGGTAGGAGAGGTCTGCCGTGCCATTTGGGTATCTCCCTGGCCGGCTGGGAATCGAACCCGTGCTGCAGAGGCTGCAGACAGCTTCACAGCACTGTGCTTAACCAGCTGTGCCACCGGGGAGGCCCTAGATACCTATCCTTAAGTCTTACTCGATTCTGTTCTTCCCAGGTCTCTCCTGTCCAGTGTCAATACTGAAGCTTCTAAGGGGGGGGGGGGCTTCAACAGGAAGAGGACAGAGAAAAAAATGCTCATTCCAGCTCCTTTTCTCACCTAGAGGTCAGTGTTTGGGGAACCAAAAATGGAGAGGCTGTTTCCTCTGCAACCCCCTTGGACCCATCAGATCTGGCCTGACTATAAAACCTTCTCATTCTGCTGTTACCAGTCAACAAGCCTCAACACCTTTTTCTTTACTACCTCTTGTAGGTACCCATTATGTTTACTTCTAAGCTTTACTTTTTCTTATCACCATGGCCTGCCCAATGAACTGAAACACAATGACAGAAGCCCTGTGCGGGGGAAAAACCCTCTTTTCATATTTTACTTGTAACAAGGGGAGAGAGAGCACTGATCAAGAATTTTACAATCATTATCATCCATGGTGATTCTTTGTCCCAGTACATACTCAGAGCACTATAGGTTATACAAATCTTGAGAATTAGCTACTATTAAGAATCCAGTGATCCTGGGCCTCCCTGATGGCCTAGGGGTTAAATCTCAGCGCTGCCACCAAGGAGGCCAACCCCACCACGGCCTGAGTTCAATCATTGGCAAGGGAGCTAGCCCACATGGCACAGACCTCTCTTGTTTCACCTACTGCTCCCCTCAGCAGCGTATTTCAGTAGATCTGCCTGTTCTGCTCCCCACTCTGTCTCTGGTGAATCCTCTCATCCCCTGTACCTCTGGCCTGCACCCCAGTTCTTCTGTGCAAAAATAAATGAAATCTTAAAAAAACAAACAAACAAACAAAAAATCCAGTGATCCACACAACTTCTTCCACATGCATACCTGAAGGCACTACAAACCAGAGGTGCTCCTTTATTTCAAACTTGTCTGTCTGTAATGTTCTGGTAACTGGCTACCACCAGTCAACAAACTGCCAGATACCAGCATGTAGGAAAGGGAATAAGGTCAAAGAGAAAAAAATTCCTTGACAGAAAGGCCACCTGTGAGTGAAGTCAGCAGTCTTCAGGTGGGGTACATGGAAGATGATCGGCAGGGGTGTTGAAAAAGAGTATTAAAACTTCTATTTCTTTAACCCCTGTGCCACCAGGGAGGCCAATAACTTATATGTGAATGAATATCTAAGTGATACATAAGGCACAAGAGTTAGTTAAGTGCCTACGAAATAGGGGCCTCCCAGGTGGCGCAGCAGTTGAGCGCTGGGTTGCGAGGCTGCCCACAGCCTCTGCAGCGCAGGTTCCATCCCCAGCCGCCGGGCGAGGGTCCCACATGGCGTGCAGACCTCTCCTGCTGCCCGCTGCTTCCCTCAGCAGTGTACTTTGGTCCTTATGCCTGTTCTGCTCCCTGCTCTGGCTCTGGTGAATTCTCTCACCCTCCCGCACTTCTGACTGTACCCAGTGCTTGTATCAATTGATAAATCTTAAAAAAAAAAACAACAACAAAACCTTCCTCCATCAAGTTCCTATGAAATAGGACATCTATGAGTCTCAGAGGGTAGAAGAATATAATTGTTACAGAATCTGTTAAGTTGGTCATATTTTACTGATATTTCACAATCTTGAAGATTATTTTTTGAAAAACAAGTTTCACTTGTAGAATGAATGAAACATTAAAATATACTAAATTTCTTAAAGGTTATTTACTACAAATTATTCAAAAACACAAACTGGTGTTTCCTATTCAAATTACTGTTCTGTAAGTAAATGTGCAAAAATTTATACCTCTTCTATCACTTACATTTCTACAATGAACAGGAACAGTATAACATTTCATAATCAGAAAAACATTAACAAAAGAAAAGGAAAATTCAATGAGAAAAGGTATAAGCAATTCACATAGGAGGAAATACAATTAGTAAACAAATGCATGAAAAATGCTATACAACATTATCAAAGAAATACAGCCTAAAATGAGACTATGTCTAGATAAAAGCAATAAAAAACAATACTCAATATTGTTGAGGAATTATGAAAGCAATTCTAAACAAATGCATGAAAAATGCTATACAACATTATCAAAGAAATACAGCCTAAAATGAGACTATGTCTAGATAAAAGCAATAAAAAACAATACTCAATATTGTTGAGGAATTATGAAAGCAATTCTAAACAAATGCATGAAAAATGCTATACAACATTATCAAAGAAATACAGCCTAAAATGAGACTACTTTATGTATAGATAAAAGCATTAAAAAACAATACTCAATATTGTTGAGGAATTATGAAAGCAATTCTGGATGGTGGGCATATAGATGGTTGATTTGTGAGAACTTACTGAGTTGTGTCTCTTGAATTTGTGCATGTGCTGTACGTGTATAATATTCCACAATTAAAAAAAAGTTTAATAAGTTATATACAATCCAGAATATGGATGGAAAGGCTTGAGAAAAGTGAATGGCATCTAAAATAACAAAATGGAAGTATGGAAGATTAAGTAGCCAAGCAGTTTCCTATTAAAAAATGAAAAGTGCCAAACTTAAGTACATGAATAAATTTAGTTAGAAAGGAATTTCCAGGCGTCCAAACCTAAGTGAAAGTGAGACCCAGAGAAGCAACCAAAATAGAGAAGCCCGATTTTCCCAAGGGCATTAGTTGACCTTAATAAACGTGAGTCCTTACTTTTTACAGGGTACATGAAATGAGAGGTAAAGCTCATAGACTGCAAGGAAAAGCACATCTTAACACTGATGCTGAGTGGATTAAGGGAAAAATAAATCTCCTGAAAACAAAACTACTCAGTCCTCATTCCAGGAATGCAAGAATGTGCTCAAATATTAATGGGTCATGCCAAAAGTCACAGGTGCATCTTAAGAGGCTCCTAGTGGTCAAATTTAGGACAATTCAGTATTAAAAAAAAAAAAAAAAACTAACTGTAACAGATTATAAAATACCATTTATGTAAAACATTTAAGTTTACAGTGATTAAAAAAATATCAAGAGGAAGTTAATAAAGCAAAATCTTCAATCTGCCCTAAGGGAGACTGCCAGATAATAATTGTGGTATTAAGATATATGGACACTCCATGTGTAGTCTTTCATTTTTTATGTTAAAAAATACTGGGGGTGGGCCTCCCTGGTGGCACAAGTGGTTAAGCACCGCACTATGGGGCAATCCGTAGTCTCTGCAGCACGAGTTCAATCCCTGGCCAGCCAGGGAGCAACCCACATGACGCAGCAGACCTCTCCTGACTTGCCCACTACTCCCCTCAGCAGTGTACTTCGGTCAATCTGCCTGTTCTGTTCCCCACTCTGTCTCTGGTGAATCTTCTCACTCCCCGCATCTCTGGCCTGCACCCCAGCTCTTGAATAAATAAATCAATCTTAAAAAAAAAATACTGGGGGAAAAAATGACATTAAAAAAAAAAGTAAGTAGGGGACTTATCTGTATCAAGAAACAGTATAGCAATATAGGATATCATCTTTGAAGGCAGAGGGCTAAGAATACTGCTTCTGGGCCACCCTGGTGGTGCAGAGGTTAAAGACTATGCCATCAAGCTATCGCCAGCCACTGCAGCGTAAGTTCAATCCCCAGCCAGCCAGGGAGCTACCCACATGGCGCAGCAGACCTCTCCTGTCATGCCCACTGCTCCCCTCAGCAGTGTATTTCAATAGATCTGCCTGTTCTGCTCTCCACTCTGTCTCTGGTGAATCCTCTCACCTCTCCCACATCTCTGGCCTACCACCCCAGTTCTTGTATGAACAAATAAGTCTTAAAAAAAAATACTGTTTCTTTTGTTTAATTAAAATCTTTATCAATGAGCTGAAAATCTGATTAATTTTTTAAACGGTTTTCCTAATTGAAAGGATATAAAGCTAGATGATTTTATTTTATTTTTTAAAGGTTTATTTATTTATACAAGCACTGGGGTATAGGCCAGAGGTGCGGGAGGGTGAGAAAATTCACCAGAGACAGAGCTGGGAGCAGAAAAGGCAGATGAGGGCCTCCCCTGTGGCGCAGCGGTTGAGCGCTGGGTTGCGAAGCTGCCCGCGGCCTCTGCGGCTCCGGTTCGATCCCCGGCTGCTCCCCGGCCACCAGAGGAGGGTCCCACATGGCGCGCAGACCTCTCCTGCCGCCCGCTGCTCCCCTCAGCAGTGTACTTCGGTCCTTCTGCCTGCTCTGCTCCCCGCTCTGGCTCTGGTGAATTCTCTCACCCTCCCGCGCTTCTGACTGTACCCAGTGCATGTATAAACAAACAAACAAACAAATAAATAAATAAAACATGCCTCTATTAAAAATAAATAAATAAATAAATAAAAAAAAAGAAAAGGCAGATGACCGAAATACACTGTTGAGGGCAGCAGTGTGCAAGACAGGAGAGGTCTGCCTCACCATGTGGGAATCTCCCTGGCAGGCCAGAAATCGAACCCGTGCTGCAGAGGCTGCGGACAGCTTCACAGCACTGCACTCAACCCGATGTGCCACCAGGGAGGCCCCTGGTTAACTAATTTAAATATCATACTTTATAAATCTACAATGTCTCACCTCTCCAAATTAGGAGGGGAAAGAGTATGAGGAATAACCTGTTTTTCATTTTGTATTCTTTGGATCACAAACAAAGAAAATCCACAACAACCAACCAACCTTCTTGTTATTTTTACAATAAAAACTCAAGAAATGTTTCCATCTATTTCTCCAGACAGGCAGTGACTACAGAACACTTTCTGTTACAATTGTTGGGGAGAAAATGTCTTTTAACATCCTGACCAAAACACAGGCAGAAACAATGCCCAGAGTAACTAAGCATCTTAATTCTATTGCCATGAAGGAATCTACGAAGTCCAAAAAACAATCTCTATATTAGAGATTGAACTCTTGCATAGAATCATTTAAAAAAATAAATCACTCACTAAAAGGATGCTTATGTGAGGTCCATAGTGAGATTCAGAGAGACAGAAGACAGGATGGTGAGTGCCAAGAACTGGGGAAAGGGACTAGGGAATGGGAAGTTAGGCTTAATGGGAACAGAGTTTCAGCTTAGGAAGAAAACAGTTCTGTAGATAGATAGTAGTGATGGCTGGACAAAATATGAAAGTACTCAATATCAATGAACCATATTTTTAAAAGGCATGGTGGTATACTTACACATTTAAATCATAATAATTCTTCAAATGAATTATTTCCTCTATATACCCATTTGCTACATCTGGAAATCTTGCTTCCTGTAAATGAATGGAAACATTATTCAAATTTTATTCACTATAATGGTTTCAAATTGCAGTAAAAGCCAGGTGGCAAAAAAGTATACAAGGTAACTGAAGACTAGAGAAGGGCTAAAGAGCAGGTCTGCAGGTTGGTGGCTTACTAATCAATGTGAGGAACCCAAATTTATTGTCTATGAAAAATACGGAATCTAGAAAGTTCATTAAAGATAATCTTGTCTTGGGCCTCCCCGGTGGCGCAGCGGTTGAGCGCTGGGTTGCGAAGCTGCCCGCAGCCTCTGCAGCAGTTCGATCCCCAGCTGCTCCCCGGCCACCGGAGGAGGGTCCCGCATGGCGCGCAGACTGGTCCCGCATGGCGCGCAGACCTCTCCTGCTGCCCGCTGCTCCCCTCAGCAGTGTACTTCGGTCCTTCTGCCTGCTCTGCTCCCCGCTCTGGCTCTGGTGAATTCTCTCACCCTCCCATGCTTCTGACTGTACCCAGTGCTTATATAATAAATAAATAAAATAAATCTTAAAAAAAAAAAAAAAAAGATAATCTTGTCTTTTGCTCCCATTTTGCATGAAAATTCTTCATTCTTTCAACAAATATTGAATATCTCTGTTCAGGCAAAGGAGTCCAGATAAATAAAAAAGCATAATCTAGTTCCTCAAGAAACATATGATCTAGACAAGGCAGATGAAAACCCTGGGGAAAAAAAGGCTTTTTATTCAGAGGCAAATGGCAGCCTAGCCAGGACACAAAGCCATGCTTCACTTTCCAACAGAACACTGTACAATGACGGAAATGTTCTATAATATACTTTCCAATATGGTAGCTGTTCAGTCCCGTGTTATTGAATACATTAAATGTGACTGGTGCCACTGGACAAAATTTAAATTTTATTTAATTGTAAGATCTTTAATTTTCAAGAGTCTAGTGAGGCTACCACACTAGAAAGTGCAGCTCTAGGTAATCTTTTAAACCTGCTTTAAGGGTATCAGTTTGGAGTTAACTCAAGTTTTTTAAAAAAACAGGGGGGGACAGCACAGCAGGGTATCCAGAATCTGCAATTAGAATCCTAAGGGATTCTGGCTGGGGTTAAGGATAAATGAAGGAATCCTGATTCAATTTCACATCAGTTTTTCTTTTAGTCTATACATGTAGACATATATATCCCTTAGGAAAAGGATGTCTACATGCACAAAGCTCTCAAAATGAAAGAAAACTCAGTACCTATAACTATTTACTTATTAAAACTTACTGTTTCTTTCACTAATAGTGCAATGAGTTCTTGATCTATTTCAGTAGCTTCTTGTCCCCAAAGGTTTTCCAAATTGGCCTCCTGAGATCCTGGCATTGGAAAGGCTGGACCTGGCTCTTCATCATCTATTGCAAGTTGTTGGTCTTCGAGCTCTTCGAGGGGATGGGCAGGCTGAGGAGAAGAGGGCCCTGGAATCCTATCCTGCTGGGGTTCTGGTCTTGGAAAAGCAGGTCTTGGAAAAGCTGGCCCTGGAAGTTCACGTTGATACAACAATGGACCCAGGTTTGCTTCAGGCTGCCGCTCCTGAGGAACAACCTGGTTTGTTATCTCCCTGGGCTGTTGGTTTAGAGACTGGAAGTAAGGATGGTCTAGCCAGCAGTCTTCTTCTATAGTCTGATCATCTATGATAGCAGTTGATTCTCCGAGATTTGACAAAAGCTCTGTCTCTGAGTCTTCTGATGACTGGTTCTGAGTTTCCAAAGGATCACTATCTGGGAAAAGAAGACTACTTTCTTCCAAGATAATGATTTTCTGCTCTGGTCTGGGGTTGACAATGTCACTAGCTGGCTGGTTATGACTTGGTCCAGGCTTGGGTTCTCTTTCTGTTTGGCCACTTGACTTAATGAATTCAGAAACTCCAGGAGGTCCAAGATCCAGAAATGCACCGTAGTCATCTTCAGAATCATCCTGTGCCCCAGAATCAAACAATGAGCTGTTACACACTGAAAAATAGTGGTTCTTATCTGATTCAAATGCTGCTCTAGACATTTTAGGCCTTTCTTCGCTCAATCTTTTGAGATCTTGCCACTGGGCAGCTGGTTTGATGAGATTGGGTCGTGATGTCTGAGGTTTATTTGTCTAAGAAAAAATGAAATTTTAATAATAATTCAATTTCTTTCCTGTGTCTATACCTCCTTATATACTAATATTCAGTTTCTGAGATAGGACAGGAAAGAAACAAAACCAAAAACACCATGCCCTACAAAACCTATTCTTCACATTTACCTTAACATTGAAATGTGACTACACTATAGTAACTATAAGAACTGAAGTAATCATTCAAATATTGAAGCTTGAATTACAGTATGAATTATAATTTTAACTGTGAGACCACTAAAATAGCTATATAGTAGAGGAAATAATGAAAGAATGAAAAAAAGTAGATTAAAAAAACAGTAGATGAATGAGAAATGTTTAGCAAACATACAGAAAGAATCTCAATCTCATCGGTAATTAGCAAAACAAAAATTAAAACATGATTTTATACCTTCTACCCCCACCTCTGGCCAAGAATGGAAAACTTTTTAGTTAGGCAATGTCAAGCCTTGATAAGGATGTGGGAAAACTCATACTGTCATTCACTGCTGGTGAATTCAGATGAACACTTTGGCATTCTTAGTAAATTAATAATGTATGTATATCCTTATGATCTATCAATACCACTTTTCATATCTGTTCTATAAACCCTTACCAATCCTTACGAGACATAAATAAGGATATTCACTGCTACATTGCTGATAACATAAAAAGAAAAAAAACAGGAGACATTCTGAGCTTTGTCCCCAAGGGAGTAGTTAAATAATTATCTATCTGCTCTACAAAACACACGCCAACTTCCCTCCCCCCAAAAAAGGTAGTTCTAGATGGTACTGAAATAGTCTACCGAGAAGAAAAGTAGCAAGCAATGTGTATACACACACACAATAATTTTATTTAAAAAAAATATAAAGCCTGGTGCCTCCCTGGTGGTGCAGCGGTTGAGCGCTGGGTTGCGAAGCTGCCTGCAGCCTCTGCAGTGCTGGTTTGATTCCTGGCTGCTCCCCGAACACCGGAGGAGGGTCCCACATGGTGCGCAGACCTCTCCTGCCGCCCACTGCTCCCCTCAGCAGTATACTTCTGTCCTTCTGCCTGCTCTGCTCCCCGCTCTGGTGAATTCTCTCACCCTCCCGCACTTCTGACTATACCCAATGCTTGTATAAATAAATAAATAAATCTTTAAAAAAAAAAAAACTTAAAAAAAAAAAGCCATTTCTGAAAGTGTAGCTATAATGTACACACACACATATACATGCATATATGTATATATTTAAATTCAAAGAAAGATCTGGAAGGATACATACCAACATGGTAATGACAATATCTCTGCGAAATCTCTTGGGAGGAAGAAGTTGGGAAAGAGACTTTAGTTTTGTTTGTAGTACTTAAATTTTACAGAAAATGTAATCAGTGCCACCAGTGAATAAAAAAAATTGAAATGCATGTCCAATTTTAAGGTTGCAGAATAAAGATGTCTCTGACCCCTCTCTTCCCTGAAATAACCCCAAACCAGGTAGACTAATGAGAGCTCAAACTGAAAATCTTTGGTGAAATCAGCAGACTTTTTCCCCCCCAAGATTTTATTTATTTATACAAGAACTGGGGTATAGGTCAGAAGTGTGCGAGAGTGAGAGGATTCACCAGAGACAGAGTGGGGAGCAGAACAGGCAGACGGACGGAAAGCACTGCTGAGGGGAGCAGCGGGCAAGACAGGAAAGGTCTGCTGTGCCATATGGGTATCTCCCTGGCCAACTGCGAATGGAACTGGCACTGCAGAGGCTGTGGACAGCTTCGCAGCGCTGCGCTCAACCCGCTGCACCATGGGGGAGGCCCTCAGAAGACGTTTGTAATCCTAAATCGCAACTAGTAGACATATAAGAAATTGATGCAACATAATAGAAAACCCAACATGGAGAAGTAACAGACAACAGAAACAAACCTACAGAAGTTTCAAATATTGCAATTATCAGACATGAGTTCTAAAATAACAGGCTTAGCATGTTTAAGTGAATAAAACTAGACTGGTATTTCAGCAGAGAACTAGAAATTAATAGGGGGGAAAAAAAGAGAATCAAATGGAAATCCCAGAATGAAAAAATAACTGATATTAGAAATCAATGGAAGGATGTATTTTTAATAAACACACTTAAGAGAGAAATCAGTAAACTGAAAGGTCAGAATAGCTAGAAGAAAGCATAAAAAGTAGAAATGATGGAAAATTAAGAGAACTGCAATATAGTAAAAAGGTTTTACCAACTTAATAATTAGGATTCTAGAGCAGAGAGATAAGCAGTATTTGAAGACAATACAAATATGCAAGGACAGGGGCTTGGTTTTATTTTTGAAGATCTAAGCAGGATACAAAAAACTTCCCAATATGGAAACCTAGATATAGCATAGTAAGACTGTAGAAATCAAATCCAAAGGTAAATACTTTGTTCAAAAGAACAAAAATAAGACTGACTTCTCAACAGAAAAATGGAAACCAGAAAACACTGTGATCGTCTTATTTTGGTATTAAAATAATTGTCATTGTCATGTAGAATTTTATACTCAATGAAAATATCAGTTTTACTGTATTATCTTTTATTTTCTTCCCAAACTCTCCATAAAGTAAATACTAAGGAAAGTATTTTACATAAAAGAAAATCTGTTTTAAGGCAAGAGATGAAGGATTAAAGAACAACAAAAAAAGGTACATATTCAAAGAAAGGGAAGTGAATGCTGACTGTATAAAACAAAAAAATACACTGTAGGGCTTTAAAAAATTAAAGAATTAGGGGCCTCCCCTGGTGGTGCAGCGGTTGAGCGCTGGGCTGGGAAGCTGCCTGCAGCCTCCGCAGTGCCGGTTCAATCCCCGGCCTCCAGAGAGGGTCCCACATGGCTCGACAGACCTCTCCTGTCTGGCCCACTGCTCCCCTCAGCAGTGTATTTCATCAGTCTGCCTGTTCTGTTCCCCGCTCTGGCTCTGGTGAATTCTCTCACCCTCCCACGCTTCTGACTGTACCCAGTGTTTGTATAAATAAATAAATAAATGTTTTTAAAAAAAAAAAAAATTAAAGAATTAAAATATAATTAAAAAACAGTAATGTCTGAAGGTGAACAAACAGTATTAAAGTGTTCCAAAATCTTAGTATTATCCAGATTTCTGTGATGTGAGGACACCTGAACTAGCTGTTAAAACAGACCATATATGTGTTAGATGTGATACCAAGAGTGACACCTGACAGAGGAAAAAATAAATTGAATTTTGTCAAAATTTAAAACTTCTGTGTTTCAAAGACCACCAACAAAAAAAAGTGAAAAGACATTTCACAGTAGGAGAGAAAATACTTGCAAATCAATTATCTGGTAAGGGCATAATTTTGAGAATATAAAAAGATTCAATAGGGGCTTTCCTGGTGGTGCAAGGGGTTATGACACAGCACTGTGACGCGATCCACAGCCACTGCAGCATGAGTTCGGTCTTCAGCCAGGGACATGACCCACATGGTGCAGCAGACCTCTCCTGTCTCGCCCACTTCTCCCCTCAGCAGTGTGTTTCAGATCTGCCTGTGCTGTTCCCCACTCTGTCTGGTGAATTCTCTCACTCCCTGCATCTCTGGCCTGCACCCAGCTATTGTATGCATAAAAAAAATAAATTTAGGGCCTCCCTGGTGGTGCAGCGGGTTGAGCACAGTTCTGTGAAGCTGTCAGCGGCCTCTGCAGTGCAGGTTCGATTCCTGGCCGGCCAAGGAGAGACCCACATGGCGTGGCAGAGATCTCCTGCCTCACTGCTCCCCTCAGCAGTGTCTTTGGTCCATCTGCCTGTTCTGCTCCCTGCTCTGTCTCTGGTGAATTCTCTCACCCTCCCATGCCTCTGACTTGTACCCCAGTTCTTGTATAAATGAATAAAATCTTAAAAAAAATAGGATAGTAGTAGGATGGCTATAATAAAAAAGATAAATAACAACTGTTGGTGACAATATGGAGAAACTGAAACCCTCATACACTGCTGGAAGGAATGTAAACTGGTATAGCTGCTATGAAAAAAAGTCTGGTAAGATAAAATATAGACATATGATACAGCAATTCTATTCCTAGCAATGGGATGGTCTGAATGTTTATGAACCTCTCCAACTCCTCCAACCTTTCCCCCCTCTTCATATCTTGCAATCCTGTCATTGGAAAGTATGTTGAATATATTAAAGCAAAGGAAAAAATTAACAAGACAAAAGCAAAAATTAAGGATAAAGAAAACAAATACTAGCAGTAAGAAATCTCTGAGCTGTTTCTTTGGTAAAGGAGGAGGAGGGAAGATAATGTTTAGCTCATTAAATCAAGGGAAAAAAAAAGAGGGAAGGAACATAAGTGCACAAAATGGAAAAGGGAAATGAAGGAACCATAGATTCAGAGTAAGGAGAAAGAACAATAGGCTATTTTGTTTGATTCTATGAAATAGATTCAAAAACCTTGTGCAAGTGATTTTCTAGAAGAATATCTGTTAATAAAATTGATATTGAAAGTGACAGAAAATACAGACATGTCAATTAACACTGAGGAAGCAGAGACAATTTTGAAAAAATATAGAAAGTATTCCCATTTATGTCTGTGGCAATTTTTCTTATTCCTATTTTCATCATTACATAAAACATTTTGAAAGGTATCACTTAATATAATCAGACAAGTGAAAGACTAAGTATAAAAACTGGAAAGGAAGAAACTATATCATTGTCAGATAAATCAGATATTATCCCTTGAGAAATTAAGAGGGGCAACTGAAAATGACTATAAATAATTGTAAGGTGACTGAATATAAAATTGACATAAAATCCAACAGTTTTTTAAATTATAAAAAAGTTAAAAGGTAAAGAGGAAGAAAAGGTGCTATTTACAAAGCAATAGAAAAGATGAAATAACCAGGAACTTAACAAAAAATGTTTAACAGCTACATTAAGAAAAATTTAAAATACTCTGGTTGAGGAATATAAAAAAAGAAGGCTAGAGCCTCCCCTGGTGGCGCAGGGGTTGAGCGCTGGGCTGCGAAGCTGCGCGGCCTCAGCAGCGCCGATTCGATCCCCAGCCACGGGGTGAGGGTCCCACATGGCGTGCAGACCTCTCCTGCCACCCACTGCTCCCCTTAGCAGTGTATTTCATCAGTCTGCCTGTTCTGCTCTCTGCTCTGGCTCTGGTGAATTCTCTCACCCTCCCGCGCTTCTGACTATACCCAGTGCTTGTATGAATGAATAAATAAATCTTAAAAAAAAAAAAAAAAAGAAGGCTAGACTAAAAATGTAAAGATAAAACTGTTCTTTATTAGAAAGTATCATATATTCTAGCGCCTCCCCTGTGGTGCAGCGGTTGAGTGCTGGGCTGTGAAGCTGCCCACAGCCTCTGCAGCACCAGTTCGATCTCCAGCTGCTGGCTAGAGTCCCACATGGTGCGCAGACCGTTCCTGCCGCGCCCGCTGCTCCCCTCAGCAGTGTACTTGATCAGTCTGCCTGTTCTGCTCCCCACTCTGGCTCTGGTGAATTCTCTCACCCTCCGCGCTTCTGACTATACCCAGTGCTTGTATTAAAAAAAAAAAAAAAAAAAAAAAGTATCACTATTCTAAAGGTATTAACATTTTTTTTTTTTTTTTTAAAGAGAACTCTTGTTTTTTTGTTTATTTATTTATACAAGCACTGGGTACAGTCAGAAGCGCGGGAGGCTGAGAGAATTCACCAGAGCCAGAGAGGGGAGCAGAGCAGGCAGAAGGACCAAAGTACACTGCTGAGGGGAGCAGCGGGCGGCAGGAGAGGTCTGCACGCCATGTGGGACCCTCCTCCGGTGGCCGGGGAGCAGCCGGGGATCGAACCGGTGCTGCAGAGGCTGCGGGCAGCTTCGCAACCCAGTGCTCAACCGCTGCGCCACCGGGGAGGCCCCTAACATGTTTTTAATTAGACAAACATTATCAGAATTATTATAAGCAGAAGAATATACAAGGTAACTCTGAAAAATGCAGACTAAGAAGGGGGCGATAGCCTTAGTTGATAGTAAGATACTCATAAAGTAGTGGTGATTACAACAGTGTGAACTAGTACATGAATAGTCAGAGCAATGATCTAGAAGTTAAGTACAGAAACAGACCAAAACATATGGCTTCTAAAGCCAAAGGGATATTAGGCAGGGTGAAAAAGGGGGCTATCCACAGAAACTTAGACAGGTACAAAGTATGCTACAAGTTGCTCTACAACCACCTACAGAGGGGCTGAAAAATCAAGATCCATAACTTACAGTAATGCATTATGTAAAGTTTAAGAATACTCACTTCTGTCAGGATCACATCATCATCCAGGTCCTCTTCATCATGTTGCTGAGGAGCGGGGGTGACCAGCATTGGAACCCCTTCCTCATCAGAGGAGTCAGATATAGTGATAGGCCCATCTCTGAGATTGATCCAGTCTAAAATCAGGGAGAGAACACTGTTACTGGAAAGTGAGTATAATCACATTCAGTTCCTTAATTTAATTTTGGCATAAAAGGGTCAAATCTAAAGTCAAGTTCATGGCTGCTGGAATGCTAATGATCTCCTCAAGCAGCACATGCCCCCACATAGTAAGAGCCATGTTTCCATGCTAATCTTTGCCATAAAACATTTGAGGAATCACTAGAGAAAAATCTAACAATTACTATGTTCAAAATTATCAACTTATTTCTATAGTAGGTTGGAGAAATCTGTTGATAAAATCTTTTCGATCCAAATTCCTGATCCACAGAAACTATGAGGCAAAAAAATAACTGTAGTTGTTTTAAGCCATTTTAATGTCAATTTCTTCAAAATTAAATCATGGCCTTTGACCCCACCCTATTTCTTCCAGGGAATAAGTGAAATACTATTTTATTTAAACTGACAGGTCTGGAAAAAAACTTTCACCTGAAAATGGTAAAATTTTTATGTAACATCTAAGATATTAAAATATGCTCACCTCAGATATAAACCTTAAGCATCATTTATGCAAACATATTTCAGTGTTTTAGCATCATTTAGCATCTTTGACACTAAGCAATTTAACTTTCCTAGAGTCAGACTAACTAGATGCAGTAATTTTGTTCAAAGTTTCCAATTTCTTTTTGTTTGAAAGTAGATCATGTTTGATATGAGTTACCAGATAACAAACTATTTTTTTTTTCCTGTTTGCCTCCATGGGAATGTTAAAAGTTAAAATGGTTAATGAAGAGAAATGCACTGAGTGTCCCAGGAAAAAAACATTTTAAAATGAAGAAATAAGAAAGAGACATCATTATTACAAATTTTGAAGTTCCTCAGTGAAGATTTAAAGTCTTTCTCAAGGTCCATGCCTCATGTGTTTATGACACCCTACAATTTGAAAAGTAATCTAAAATCTACAATCACATTTCATTACTATAACAGAGTTTAGTGATGCCAGGAAGCAAGATCAATTAAAACAGGAAAGTCTGTGGGAGCTAAAGTCAGTCTGACTTTATGTCAGCATGTCAGTTAACCACATACTAGCTCATGAAGCTGTTCCCTAACTTCTTTAAGCATTCATTTCTTCAACATTAAAAAGGAGTTAATAATGGTGTCTACTACAAGTAGTGTGAGGATTAGCTGAAGAAGTGCACATAAAATGCTTGTTTATTAAAATACCTGACACATAGTAAAGCTGCCTGATTTCAAGTTCGAGGCCACCTACACAGTAGAATGATAAATATAACAACCAACTCAAGCAAGGTGTTCGATAGTAGTACATTATAAAGGTCTTTCAGTTAAACCTGGCAGAATGAATGCAAGTGATTATCACCATCACTTCCTGAAATTCCACTAAAATGATAGTAAAGGAACTTAAAAAAGACATAGTACGAAAAGAAGAAAGATTTAAATAAAATTCTGGAAAAAATATTTGCAGATTGTAAGTAGAGAAGGCACAAGTCTATTGCCTGCAGAGGGGGCAGTCAACTCATGCTAACTCATACTTCAAAATCCCAGATATTGTTGAATAAATGTTCTCAATTATTACATACTATGCAGCAGTAAAAAAGGAATTAATTACTGATACATGCAAGGAATCAATCTTTAAAAAATATATTGTGCAAAAGAATTAAGGTACAAAGTATATGCTATATGCTTCTAGTTATATGAAACTGTATAGCAACAAAAAGCAGATCCAGGAATTGATGAGGACTGATGACAAAAGGGAAGGGCATAAGGGAAATCTTTCTGGGTGATAAAAGCATTGTATTATCATGACTGAAGTGGTGGTTATATGAGTGTATTCATTTTATAAAACTCACTGAACTATACACTTAAAATGTATGTATTTATTATATGTAATTATATCTCAATAAAGATGACTTTACAAAAGCTATAGGGGTTGACAAAAAAAAAAGAGCCAATTAAAAACAAGACAACTCTGTTACCTGAAAAAAATTCACGATGGATAAATACACAAAACTTATGTAACAGAAAAATATACCCCCCCCCTAGGGTCAATAATTTCCCAAGAGGAACTGGTTGTTTTTTTTTTTAAGATTTATTTATTTATACAAGAACCGGGGTACAGGCCAAATGTGCGGGAGGGTGAGAGGATTCAACAGAGACAGAGTGGGGAACAGAACAGGCAGACTGACTGAAATACACTGAAATGAGGGGAGCAGCCAGCGAGACAGGAGAGGTCTGCTCGCCATGTTAGTATCTCCATGGGCAGCAGGGATCGAACCAGCACTGCAGAGGCTGCAGACAGCTTCACAGCGCTGTACTCTACCACCTGCGCCAACAGGGAGGCCCGAAATTGGTTGTTTTTATGGAAACTATATTCAGTATGTTTTAAGACCCAATTAAAAAACAGCAACCTTTGATATGTACAATCAGAACACTGGAAATGATCATATGTATCAACTACTGCTAAGATAATTTAAAACCTTCTGAATCATAGCAAATTATGAGTATGATCACTACCAAGTCAGAATTCTTTAAAATAAATCAGTCTTGGAGTCTCCCTGGTGGTGAAGGGGTTAAGAGACAGCGCTGTCAAGCTATCTATCTCCGGCCACTGCAGCACGAGTTCGATTCCTGGCCAGCCTGGGAGCAACACACATGGCGCAGCAGACCTCTCCTGTCTTGCCCACTGCTCCCCTCAGCAGTGTTTCAGTAGATTTGCCTGTTCTGCTCCTCACTCTCTCTGGTGAATTCTCTCACCCCCCCGCACTTCTGGTCTACACCCCAGTGCTTGTATACATAAATGAATAAAATCTTTAAAAATCAGTCTTAATCAGCGGGCCTCCCCTAGTGGCATAGGCAGTTGAGCGAGAGCTGTGGGGCTGTCCACAGCCTCTGCAGCGCAGGTTCCATCCCAGCCACGCAGCGAAAATCCCATATAGTGTGGGAGACCTCTCCTGTCTCGCCCGCTGCTCCCCTCAGCAGTGTATTTCAATCAATCTGCCTGTTATGTTTGCCGCTCTGTCTCTGGTGAATCCTCTCACCCTCCCGCACATTTGGCCTGTACCCCAGTTCTTGTGTGCATGAATAAACAAATCTTTAAAAAAAAAAAATCAGTCTTAATTAGCATAGCTTAATCAATTTAACTGCCTGCAATTTATTTGTTGAATAAAACTGGCTCAATTTTCAATGCCCTAAAAGCAAAATATAAATAATTTTTTTGGGAAATCTTACACATTCCTGGAAGATGCTTTCATAAGCACAAAATATTATCAATGGGGGAAAAAAAGTATCTGGTACAACCTCTGCCATGAACTTATACTTGCAAAAAATGATCTTTTCTTATTTATCATCTTGAAGATTTTCCTTATGATAGGTGTAAATGTGAATCTTGTAGGATCTGACAGGAAATTTCATATACATTTAGGAATGTTATAGAAATGGAGGCTCCCTTCCTTTCATGAGCTAACAAATTTTCCCAAATTTTAAATACTATAAAACAAAAAATACACAGCCTAAAATTTCCCATAAGGCTAAACCAGGATCTCCGGCAAAAAAGAAATTAAGGGGACAAAATTATTTGAGGAGCACTGTACTATACCTTGGATCCAATAGGCTTGGAGGAATATACCTTTGTAGTCGCAGAGAACTGCCACTGTTTCATCTTTTTTTTTTTTTTTATAAAGATTTATTTATTTATTCATACAAGCACTGGGTACAGTCAGACGCGCGGGAGGGTGAGAGAATCCACCAGAGCCAGAGCGGGGAACAGAACAGGCAGACTGACGAAATACACTGCTGAGAGGAGCAGTGGGCGTGGCAGGAGGGGTCTGTGTGCCATGTGGGACCCTAGCTGGTGGCCGGGGATCAAACTGGTGCTGCAGAGGCTGCGGGCAGCTTTGCAGCCCAGCACTCAAACGCTGTGCCACCAGGGGAGGCCCAGGAACTGCCACTATTCCTATAGTTCCGACTTTTAGGAGCCAATGATTATACTCACAGCTCTTTATTTGCTTGCTGATTAATAAATTTATAAATCTAGTTGTGATGGATGATTCTTAAATTTCACTCATGCCAGCGGGTATCACCATTTGATATAACTGTAGTCTGATGAGTGCATTTATGCCTAATGTTGTAAGGGCTTCTACCTAGGGCAAAACAGGTTCATTCCAAATAATATATAAATATAATATTAAGAGAGAAATTGAGAATAAACATTTACCTTGTCCCCGGTGGCAGTGAAAGTTGTTCAAATGAATCACTTCTTCATTGCTGTTTCCTTCTGCCATTTTCAAAACACACACATATGTGCTTGCTAATATCTAAACATGGCAACTATCTATTCAAAAATGGTCTGAAAAAGAAAAAATTAAGATTAAGAATGAGGGAGTATCAAAATCTCTTCTCACATATCTGATTTCAAGATAGCTTTCTAAGCTTATAGTAAAAAAAAAAAACCTTCAGAAAACAAACTCAAACACATAGCAATAACAAAGTATTTTTAAAAATACATATTTAAGAGAGACAACTGATACAGAATTTATATCCAGATACAAACATCATTTAAAAAAAAGGGTTAAGAATAGGAATAGGTAATTCACAAAAAAGAAAACATTGAAAGATGCTCAACCTCTCTTATAATCATTGCAAAGCAAGTCAGAAAATATGTTTTAAACAATCAAGCTGGCAAAAATGGCTACTATGTGAGAAATGGGAAAATCTTATACATTGCTAGTTCCAGAGAACTACTTAGAAGACATTATTGGAGAGGAATTGGCAATATGAAATAAAAGATGTACATTCTGTGATTGAACAATTCCACATACAGTATATTAGCTAAAGTAACTTGTACCTGTTCTCTAGAATATGCGTAACAGAACATGTGGATAAGAATGTACACTACGGAAAACTGTGTAATACAAATAATGGGAAATGACCATATGGACATCAATGGAGAAAGAAATAAAATTCCTGTAAGAATACAACACAGTGAAACTAAATAGACCTATATAGATCAATATGAATAATTAAAAACAATGTCAAATGAAAATAACATGTGTGATATCATTTATGTACATTTATATAGAATTTTTTTAAATTTTTTTTATTAGATAATAAATTTTGTTATATTCCCCATACAATTGCAGCCCCCCCATTCTGACCCCAATCCCTCCCCTCCCGCCCCCACCCCCCTAAAAGTGTCTCTGGTTCATAGTTTTTTGCTGATTTTGATTTTCACTTTCTTATAGTTATTCATTTTCCTGGTCCCTTATTTAAGTTTTCTAGATTCCTGCTATGAGTGAGACCATCCGGTATTTTTCTTTTTCTTTTTGGCTTATTTCACTGAGCATGATCCCTTCCAGCGCCATCCATGTTGCTGCAAATTGCATGTGTTTATCTTTTTTGAATGCTGAGTAATATTCCATGGTATATATGTACCACATCTTCTTGATCCAGTCATCTATTTTTGGGCATTTGGGTTGTTTCCAAAGCTTAGCTATTATAAACAGTGCTGCTATAAACATAGGGGTGCAGGTGTTCTTTGGAATTGATGTTTCTGTGTCCTTTGGGTAAATTCCTAGGAGTGGAATTGCTGGATCATATGGAAGCTCTATGTTTAGTAGGTCCAGAAATCTCCACACAGCTTTCCACAGTGGTTGGACCAGTTTGCACTCCCACCAACAGTGCAGAAGAGTTCCTTTTTCTCCACACCCTCGCCAACATTTGTTGTTGCTAGTTTTTTTAATATGTGCCATTCTCACTGGTGTAAGATGGTATCTCATGGTCGTTTTGATTTGCATTTCCCTGATGACAAGTGATGTTGAACATTTTTTCATATGCCTGTTGGCCATTTGCATTTCCTCTTCTGAGAAGTTTCTTTTTAGCTCTTCTGCCCATTTTTTGACTGGATTATTTTCTTTGTTGTTGTTGAGTCTCATCAGCTCTTTGCAGATTTTTGTGATCAGTCCTTTATCATTAGTGTTGGGTGCAAAAATGTTCTCCCAGTTGGTGGGGTTTCTCTTTGTTTTTGTTATTGTCTCTTTTGCTGTGCAGAAGCTCTTTAATTTGATGTAGTCCCATCTATTTATCTTCGCCTTCACTATCACTGCTTTGGGTGATGTGTCTGTAAAGATGTCTTTGATGTGCAAATCACGTAGTGTTTCGCCTATATTTCCTTCTATATATTTTATGGTTTCAGGTCTTATGTCTAGTTCTTTAATCCATTTTGAGTTGATTTTTGTGTATGGTGTGAGGTAGTGGTCAAGCTTCATTCTTTTGCATGTAGCGACCCAGTTTTCCCAGCACCATTTATTGAACAAACTTTCTTTGCTCCAATGCATAGTCTTTGCTCCTTTGTCAAAGATTAGTTGACCATAAATCTGTGGGTTTATTTCTGGATTTTCTATTCGATTCCATTGGTCTGTATGTCTGTTCTTGTTCCAATACCATGCAGTTTTGATGATTATGGCTTTGTAGTAGAGTTTGAAGTCTGGGAGTGTGATGCCTCCATTCCCTTCTTTTTTTATCAGGAGAGCTTTGGCTAGAATTTTTAATTTTTTTAATGTAGAATTTTTTAAAAGATTTAAATATTAGATACAAAAATACTATTTTATAAATTCACCAACTTTGGAGGAGTGAATATTTCTGGGAAAGAGATTAAAAAAGAACTAAAGCTTGAACCTGAGTTACATACAATATTTTTTTCCTCCTTTTTACAGATATCTGAAACAAAACATTGAACACTTGTGAAATTGGTACTTTTGAAATTTCTTTTTCAAAAAAAGACAGTTGTAGGTGAAGATGTGGAATATACACACAATGGAATACTACTCAGCAATGAACAAAGATAAAACTCAAGCCATTCACAACAAGATGGATGGAGTTCAAAGGGATTATGAAATCAGTGAAAAAAGTCAAAGGAAAAAGAAAAATATTGAATGGTATCACTTACAGGTGGGGAAAACCATGCCTGGGATCAGAGGGGGAAAAAAAAAGAGAAAATTAGCAGGCAAACTATAAATTGAAGACAATCAGCAGGGGATGGGTAGGAGAGGGTCAAAAGAGGGAAGGGCAGAGCACAAGACTCTATGGTGACAGTTTATGGGTGTCTTGGTGGTGGGAATTTTATGGGGACAACAGATCAAAGTTCAGATTCAGTCATTTTGGGATGTTTAATTTATGACGAAAGTGTCACAACAGATAAAGGGGAAAACATGATTTTTAAAAACTATATTACACTGTACTGAAAAGTCTTATTTTGGGAATGGAGGAGTAGGTAGTATAAAGAACTAGAGCTCTTCCTCATGCCTTAGACAAAAACAATTTTATGTGAATTCTTGATTTAAATTGGTAAGGTAAAGCAATGAAGTTTTCAGAAAAATGAGATTCAGGCAACCAGAATTACTAGACAGACACTGACACAAAGACTGGTGGTAAATATTAAGTTAAATGAGATAGTAATAGATGCCTCCCTGGTGGTGCAAGGGTTAAGATGCAACCTATGAAGGGCCTCTCCGGTGGCGCAGTGGTTGAGCGCTGGGTTGCGAAGCTGCCCGCAGCCTCTGCAGCACCAGTTCGATCCCCGGCTGCTCCCCGGCCACCGAAGGAGGGTCCCACATGGCGCGCAGACCACTCCTGCCGCCCGCTGCTCCCCTCAGCAGTGTACTTCGGTCCTTCTGCCTGCTCTGCTCCCCGCTCTGGCTCTGGTGAATTCTCTCACCCTCCTGCGCTTCTGACTGTACCCAGTCTGCTTGTATAAATAAATAAATAAATAAATCTTTAAAAAAAAAAAAGATGCAACCTATGAAGCTGTCTGCAGCCACTGCAGCACTTCAATTCCCGGCCAGCCAGGGAGCAACCCACATTGCGCAGCAGACCTCTCCTGACTCGCCTGCTGCTCCCCTCAGCAGTGTACTTTGGTCAATCTGTCTGTTCTGTTCCCCACTCTATCTCTGGTGAATCCTCTCACTGCCCCCCCCACCCCATGCCTCTGGCCTGTACCCCAGTTCTTGCATGCATAAATAAATAAATCTTTAAAAGAATAAAAAAAAAATTTTAAATGAGATAGTCATAAAAATGATGGGGCGGGAAGGCATATACAAAATTTTAAGTTGTTTACAATAATTGTTAGCTGTGACAGTATTTATTTTGAGACTTATGTGTAGAGTTAAAACAAATGAACAGTTATGGAATGGTCTACCAATCCTTGTGTCCCAGATAATCAAGACTCTTAGTATGGAAAAAAGGAGTTACACTTACAGAAGTAAAACCTTACAGATTTAAATTTGAATTATAAATATTAGCATTGATTCATAAATATTTTAATTTGTTAAAAAAAAAGTCTGCAAACAGTGAACATATAAATTGTTTAGATTATGGTCTTGAGATACTATTCCTCATCGAAAGAAACCAGAACTTCTAGACAAATTACTAATTCCAGTTCTAGGGGAGAAATCATAGAAAATTATCCTGGAAGATCTTGTCCTATCATATATCAAAGAAGCTGTCAAAGACTAGGTCCTGTCAGAAGAACTCAAGAAAAATCCTTAAGAGGCTCCCAGCTTCAATAAAAATAACTGATATGGCACTCATGAAAGTCTAAAGAAAATGTGATAAAGGCCTTCAAATGATTGTCAACCAATATATCATCTTTAAAGTTGGTAAAATAAAAGTAAGGAATCAAGCATTTTCTTGCCCTTTTTATATGAACTATATCACAGGATAAACAAATAGTAGACAAGGAAATAGCCTTTTTGTAAAAAAAATTCTAATATAAATTAAAATATCACCATTTTTCAATCCTCAATGAATTACTGGATCTAGACATTGAAGACCATAAACTACTAACATGACAAAAACATAAGTGTCTTCTGAGGAAAGAACATACATATATAGTCTTGTTAAAGGAACCTGGTCAAAGATCTGAACTGACCCAAAAATTTGGAATAGAAGCTAGCAGAAAAGTAAAAATAAAAATTCTGAATCCAGACCACGCATTCTCAATGGGGGTGAAATGACGAGGAAGTGAGATTTCAGATGTTACAACAGTTTGTGACTCCCCCCAAATTCAACTCTATCTAGCAAAATCTTATTTGTAGTATTTAATGGGGGAGAATTAAAGGGGGTGGAGGAATGAAAGACTTTATAGGGGGAATTGACAATTTTTTTAAAGTCTGACAAAAAATTTATCTAGATTCTGGGAAATTACTGGTCAAAAGGTTCTGGTTCAACACCAGATAACTGTAAGGAAAAAGAGAAGGACATGGGAGAAAAACCTGACTTAAAAGACAGCAATTTTTTAAAAATGGATGAGGTTAAACAATATCTAGGGAAATACAAAAAATGATATAAGTC